CCCCAAAACCCCAAAACCCCAAAACCCCAATCATTTGGTGTCAAATTGACAATTAAGATTTACGACCAACTAATAATGGTGTATGAAGTAAGTCCAAACAAAAAGACAAATCCGAGTCCAATTATAAAGTAGTCCAATGCTTTCGCCAATCTGCTCTCTGCCACTAACTGGAGATGAAACACTGCCGGCATGATAAAGGCGACTGGAGTACAAGTCAGAGAACCCTCTACTGACAGAAGCCTATCAAGAGTGTCTTCTAAAGAGATTCCAATAGAGAAGGTTACCACTACAACCAGAGCTCTGCTTAAATTTCTGAGGAATGTCCTTGTCTTCGAAGGAGCCATCTTATCAACAGAGTAGCTCTCAATGATAATATTACAAGGATAAATTATCAAAGGATATGAAAGGACTACATTGATAATGAAAAGTATCATGACTACTTCAACCACCAAATTTCCTTCCCTCAGAACTTTGGTAACTAATGGAGCATTTGAGAGCAACTCTTCTCCATAAACTGCATAATTGAAGAAGCCAAAGGACGCAAAGAAACATCAGAGGAACAAAATCACACAAGTGAATATAGCTGGAAAATGGTGTTTATTCTTGCATGCTTCTCTCACGGGTAAAATAATTCCTACTCCTTCAAAAATAAAGATGGCTGTGCCAAGAAAGACCAAGTATTTATCTGAGTTAAAAGGCTCGATGTCTTCAGCAAAAGAGCCTTGGTCGTTCCGGAAAGAGATCGCTTCTGATATCAATATTATTCCAGCTGAGAACACAGTTAAATCTCCAAGAAAATGATATCTTTCAAGAGTCTGAATTTTCCGAACCCAACATAATGGAGTGTCAATGAAAAAAAGAATCAGACCCATTATCCAAGTGTTGACTGTGAATCCAAAGTGATAATCAATTATTTTGTTAAGATTCTGACTGATAAATACTACATACGGGGTTACAAAGCCTGTCTGGGAAACAGCAAGCACAAAGTCACAAATATATCTTCCTTTATTCCCCATAGCAAGAAATCCTAAATCTGAGAAAGTTCCTTTGTATTTTGAAGCAACCTGAATTAACAAGAGGCCTCAAGTTAGTGTAATTAGCATGCTTCCCACCAGTGCAGCTGTGGCAAACATCCAGCCTCCGTTACTGTAACCATTTGGCATAAATAAAATGCTTATGACCAGAAATCCTTTCAGAAGAGTGAAGAACGTCTGAATAGATCCCATCCTTCCCTCATTACTTTCCTGAATATCTTCATTCTGAATTTCAAAGTATTCGTGCTTACCTACATCAAGCTTATAAACTACACATCAGCCCTAGGCTTAAATACTCCACTGACTTAACAGATTTCCATCCCAAAAAATTAACAAAAAATCTCCAAAATCTCCAATCAAAATAACTTAAAATCATCCTTGAAACAGCACAAATTTCAAATTCTGAACCTCTTCAGCTACTCAAAATCACTAAATCCAAAATTCTAAACTGGCAGCCAGCGGCTTAGCAAGCTGGATTCTTAGTAGAGGTTTTAGGAGAAAATGGCTTCTTGAGGATGCCTGGGCAGAGAGATCAGAAGAGTGTACCTTGACTATCTCAAATCCTATCTTCACTCGACCTATCGTCCGCTTCCATATATTATTATTTCCAGGATCCTCTATAAATCTTTAATACCCCGGGGTTTTGGGGTTTTGGGGTTTTGGGGTTTTGGGG